CTTTCTTCTTGAGATGGTCTTCCGTCATGACAGCGGCGATAGCGAAGATGTTGCCCAAAGTGCCCAGCGCCGCCAGGGTCGACACCAACAACAACATCCCCAACCTATTCCAATGTTGCTGTTCGACCCCTTCCTGCTGTCCGCTGCTGTTGCGTCGCTCCAGCTGCGTGTGGTGCTGCTGCTGGCCGCCCTCCTCCTCCTGCTGCTGCTGCTGCTGCTGTAGCAGCAGATCCTGGTCTCCGCCCACCACGCCCGCGACGCCCACCCTCAGGGCCGTCTCTGTCATCCAACTCAGCACCTCGCTGCTGGTCACCTCAACTGGGAAGGTCGTGGGCGGAGAGGTCACCGCCGCGCTCATCTCTTCAGCATCCCGCCTGCAAGGTCATACATTAAGGTCAACACAGGTCACCACAGAGGTCAAGATGGGTAAAACGTAGTCAAGAGAGGCGAAGAAAGGTTAATAGAGGACAAAATGAATCCACAAGAGGCCAAGAAATGTCAAAATTGCACATCAAAGGTCAACATTGCACAATTAAGGTCAACATTAGTGCTATGATTTCTAAACTATAATATGAGTCAAAACTCAAAAGGCCTTCACTAGACCTGAAAGGTCACCACTAAACCTAAGAGGTCATTAATACCAGGTCAACACCAGTTAGGAGAGATCATTACATGTCAGAAGTGTTTAGTGGATATCACGGGAGGTTGAATGATCACCAACAAAGGTCAACGATGGTTAACTTTAATGGTCAGCCAGAGGTCACGATAGCCTATCAGAAGTCACAATTTATCATCAGAAATCAGAAAAATAATCTCAAAAAGGTTTTAAAACAAAAATAATTTTATTTTCATAAATCAGAATAGATAAAAATAAGGGCATTTTTGTTGAGGAAAAACGCGATATCAAATTCTATTCAACAGTCTTGCATGGGAGTTTGGATATATACCTCCCCCTCACTGTCTGGCTCGTTGTCGCCGTGAGGGGGCTTGGTGGGCAGCTGCCGGAGTGTGATGCTCCGTGAGTCAGTCCTCTGTCCTTTTGTGGCCTTATGCTCCTGCTGCTGCCTTTACCAATTCTGCCAGACCCCTTTTCCTTTTCCTCGTGTTTCATTTTTCTCCCCCCTCTTCTCCTATCAAATTGTCATTTCCTGCCGACCTTTTGCCTGTTTTGATTATTCTTTCGACCTTCTTTTGTTTTGACGCCCGGGTGTTTGAGGAGGCATACTCTTGCACCCATAGAACTGTAGTACCCAACGTCCCGAGCGAGGGGGACCTTTTATTGTCAATCTTCCTTTCGTCACTGAATCCGCTCTCGACGGACTCACGGTTCTTAAGGTGGCGTTTGTGGGGTGTATACTCACGACGCACCCCTGGGGGGCCCCCCGGCAAGATCGGCGATAGCTTCTTGTTGGGTGTCCTGCCTCTAATTGTGGCTCCATGGTGGGTGTGGGGGCACATTCGTGAATGAAAGTTTTCCCTCGTTTTCATGGCTGATAATGTTTTCCTTGTACTTTCTCAGGCTCGTGGGGGTGGGCGACCAAGTCCCCGAGTCGGACTGTGTTGGAAGACCAGGCCCTGTAGCTCCTGCTGCATTGGGCCCCGACGACCTGACTACTCCCCTCAGCTCCCCTCCCTCCTCTGCGGTAGGGTCGAGTCCCCAGGTCCCAGTGGTGACCACCTCGTCCCCTAGCACGGCTTCGTCTCTCATTGTGACTACTGCGCCTTTTACCCCCATGAACTCCCGGGGTTCTCAACGCCGTTCCCGCCATGGCCGCACTCGTACGATCCCTTCCCGTAATACTACTTACAACGCCTTGTTTGGTCCCGCTACGTGGGCTAAATGCTTTGTTCTCCACCATCTGGATTCTACTCCTCCTGACGATTTCTCCCTTCATAAACACCTTGTTGATTTGGTAGATGCCTCTGTTACTTTTAACTCCACCAGTTACGGTACGCGTGTCGTTGCTACTCCTTCTCAGGATGGAGCTACTTGCTTAGCCGCTTTGTCCTGCATTGGAGAGACCCCTGTTCGGGTCTCCAAAAACGCTCGTTTAAATGCCAGTGTTGGCACTGTTCTCCTCCCACACCATGTTGCAACTGGTGTTCGGGACTTCAGAGATTGCCATGAGGATATTAAACATATCCTCTAAGCCCAAGGCCATTCTGTCCTCCAGGTGGACACGTTTACTCGACCCCCTCGTGGTCGTCGCCGTCAGCCCCTTCGAGTTATTAAAATCACCTTTGATAGTAGGACCCTTCCGCCCTCTATTATTCTTGCTGGTGCCAGATGCTCCGTTCAGGAGTACATTCCCTCTCCTAGACTTTGCAATAAGTGTTGGAAGTTTGGGCACGGTGTCCTCAAATACACCAGTACTGTGTATCTGTGCCCCATGTGTGGGGACGATATTCATTCTAAGTCGGAGTGCACTTCTCCCCAGGCTCGCTGCCTCAATTGCGGTGAGGCCCACCCTACCTTCTCACGCTCATGTATGCACTACAAACTCGAAGAAGCCGTCCTCAACTTGAAGCACCGTGATCATCTGTCTTTTCCTGAAGCGAGACGCCAAGTTCGTCGTCTCACCCCTTTCGCGGGCGTCTCCTACGCTCGCGTGTTGCATTCTACCTCTCCTCGTTCTTCCCATCTTCCTCAGTCTCACAACCGTTTCCAGGCCTTAAACCCGACCACACCCACCACCTCCTCCCCTATTCCTTTGCCTCCTGTCCCAGATGGTCTCCCTCTTGGTTCTCCATCTGGTGTTTCCCCCCTTCCTACCCAGTCCACCATACCTCCTTTGTATTTTTCCCCATCTCCTTCCCCCCTCTTTCTTCCCGACCCTCCTCCCAGTCTCTTGACCCTCCACGCCACCTGTCTGTCCAGGCTGATATCCATCATCCTCCCAGCAATCTTCGTGTTATTCGCTCCCGTTCCTCTTCTCCTGCCGAGACCATTGAGTCTGTCTCCCGCTACGTTCTTACTGGAACACCTGTCTCTTCGAGTCAGAAACGTAAGCCTGGCTTCTCTCCTTCTTCCTCTCTGGCGGGTAAGAAGGCTTCGCTGTCTTCCTCACCCTCTCCCTCTGACTGTCACTACATCCCCTCCCATTTCAGTGGTCGAACCCCCTGTCCCAGATATGGAGGTTTCTTTCGCCCCCGATTCCCTCTCGGTTGCTGCCCTTGCTGAGGCGCACTCCCTGCCTTCTGCCCCCCCCTCCTCCGGCTGTCCTTGCCTGCCCCTCTCAGTTGCCTCCTCCCCCTCTGGACCCCGTCAGTCTGCCTCTGGTCTGTCCTCTTGCTCCCTTCCCTCTATCCTTACTAAGTTTACCCATGCTCCCTAACCCTGATTTTGCTGACCCTGATCATGAGATTCTTTAATAAACTGTGTTCTTCTATACCTTTATTTCTTTCTTGTTCTCTGTTACTGTCCTTTCTCTTTGGTAATGTCTATTCTTCAGTGGAATATTCGTGGATTTTTTGCCAACTTCCATGAACTCCAACTTCTAATTACACAGTTTACACCACTTTGTGTTTGTCTCCAGGAACCAATGCTTGGTGCTCGTCCTGGTCACTTTCGGGGTTATTTCTTTCTTTCTCCCCCCCCCCCCCAGCTCTTGCTGGGGCCCGTAACTCTACTGCTCTCTTAATTCGATCTGATATTCCCTTCGTCCCCCTACTTCTTCCGTCACCTATCGATTGTTCTGCTGCCCGTGTTTTTGTGGGTAAATGGTATACAGTCTGTTCCATTTATCTCCCCCCAAATGCAATATACGGGCTCACCATAGCCCGTGTTACTTGGAACTTTTTGTTCCAGGTAGCGAATCTTTAACAACAACAACAACCCCAAATGTCCCGCTTTCCCTTCCTGATCTTAAGCACCTCCTGTACTCCTTGCCAGAGCCGGTGTTCCTTTTGGGAGACTTCAACTGTCGACATTCCCTCTGGGGTGATGTTCTGACAAACACCCGAGGCCATCTTCTCGAACCGTTCGTCCTCGCTTCTTCTCTCTTCTGAATTCTGGTGAACCCACTCATGTGGACTCCCGAACTCGCACCCTTTCCTGTCTTGATCTTTCTCTCTGCTCGTCGTCGCTTTCGCTTTGATGTCCGAAGAGCTTGGAAAGGATGTGGGAGGAAGAAGGATGGGGCGATGAAATTCTTGGAAGAGGATTTGGATGTGGAGAGAGGAGGCTTGAAAGTTCGGTGGCCCGTCCACCGTGGATTGGAGATGTTTTTTTCAGTCAAAGCCTGTAGCTTGGGTTCTTCTTGGGCGGCTGGAGGCTAATGGTGGGGCAGGGTGATGTCGTCCTGGTTCACTTGAGGTGGTCTGTCTGGCTTGGAGGAGGCGTCTTCCTTATTGAGGTGGTGAGAGTTAAGTTCACTGTTGCTTGGTGGTGTCTTGGCCACGAGGTATTCGCATGTACTTCCCAAATGACAGCGGTGGTATTGGTGTTCCTGTCGGGTCTTCATCTTCTTCCAGGAAGGTCACTTGTCCCGTCTTGAAATCGAATTTAGGGTCGATGTATTCTCTCTCCAGAGCGCTGAGGTCTACATATAGTTCCACGGTCTCGTGGTGGACAAACACAGGGTAAGGAAAGCAGGTCTTGAGCTGGTTGATGATCCTGTTGCATTCTAAGGCAATGACTATTCTTGTGCTTCGATTGCCGTTGAAAGTGCCACCGTGATTGAGGTAAAGTCCATAGTAGGGCTTTTTCTTGCTTGATTTGCTTGGGTTTAGGTCGAAGTCTGGGGCCTCATATGTGACGGCCTCAGCCGTGTCAGATGGAAGCAATGGTGATTCTATTAACTCTGGTGCTGGTTCTGGTTCTGAATCTAGTTCTGATTCCACTTGCCGACGTTTTGCTCTTTTCGTCCGTCGCCCCCGGCTGGTGGGGGCAGGTGATGAGGTTGACTGGTCTGCTGTGGAGGTGGTCTGGGTGGATGCTGTTGCCTGGGTGACTTGTGCTGGGTTCGACTCCGGTGGTGGTGGTAGCGGTATGACTGCAGTTACTGTTGGTGTTGGAATCTGGTCTGTTTGGGTTGAAGCAGCGTTGTGATGTTGAAATAAGTCTGCTGGTATCAACATTGTGGGCAGGTTGTTCTGGGCGAGCAGCCTGTTCAGTACTCTCACGTATTTGGCGTTGTCTGCTCCCGCCTCTCTCTCAGCTACACTGATCAGGCATGGGATGAGAGTGGTGTTGGTCGAGGCCGCTGATTGGTTGACAGTCAAGTTGGTTGGCTGAGCTGCAGTCGCCTGTGTCCTGGGTCCCCATTGGGGGGTGGTCTGGCCTGGTGTGGACGTCTGTGTAGCAGAAGCAGAAGCGTTGGGAAGCACTGGAAACGATGTAGCTTGGATATTGAAGATCGCCGGCTGATTG